TTCCAACTCCTGCAGGCCTGGCCTCTGTCACCTCCAGATTCTGGTGGCTCCCATCCCTCTGCCAGATCAGGTTGACCTCAGCAGGGCCCAGAACCTTCAGTGGTTTATTCCATTAGCCTCATGGTGGAAAGCATCGAGAGTAGGCAGACGTGATGCTGGAAAAGGAGTTGAGGGTTGCACATACATCTTGATATGCTGGCAGAAGAAATAGACTGACTGTGTGCCACGCTGGGTACAACTTGAGCATATACGACCTCGAGTCTGCCTCCTCCACAGTGGCACACTTCCTCCACCAAGATCATACCTCCTAGTAGTGTCACTCCCTATAGGCCAAGCATTCAGACTCATGAGTCTATGGGGGCCGTTCCTATTCCAACCACCATGTCTGTACAATGTTACATGTATGTGTGTTTTCAAGACTGACCATGTGGTATTGGATACCTAGTTGATTGCTCTTCTCTGAGGAAGATTACTCCTCCCACTCCCAGCTGTCCTTAGGTGCCTGCAGTTCTCTGTGTAGGGTTGAGGACGTGGGTACCTTTCTCCATTCACTGGGAGATGTCTATTGGTGTTGCCCTTGTTCAGCTCCTTTTAGGGTAGTCATGTGGGCGGGGCTTTATGGATATAGCTACTAACATTCCTAAGAGACTTTCCCCTTCTGAAATATTCCCTGAGCCAGAGTGTCGTTGTTTTTTTTTTTTTTTAAGTTGTTTTATCACATTTTCTGGAAACAGTGGCTTTATTCAAGGTGTCTCCAAGAGTCCAATCTCTGATAATTAGGTAGTCAAATTGTCACATCCCCAGTATCTGTTTATTATAAGAAAACTAACATCAGAAAGAGTTCTCACAATATAAATGCGTAAGACTCATTAATATTTTTAAAGATTTATTTACTGTGTATATAATGTTTTGCCTGCAGGCCAGAAGAGGGAGCCAGATCTCATTATAGATGGTAGGGAGCCACCATGTGGTTGCTTCGAATTGAACTCAGGATGAGCACTGAATGCTTTTAAGCTCTGAGCCATCTCTTCAGTCCTAGAACTCATTAATGTCAATGAGTGATGTCAGAATTTAGCAGTGTTTAAGCCATGCTCAACACCTGCCCCATGTCCAGAGAGAGATGGAGTCTTCTAGTCCATCTCAGCATGAAAAGCCCTGTTAGTACCTCCCACAGTGAAAAGACCTGCACATGGAAAACTAATATGTATGTTAAGGTGTTCCTTATGCGTGTTGCAGGATTATTTTAAGCCATTTAATTTATGCTCCAAAGTCATCCCAATGTAATATTGATATAATAGTCAGTCGTGAAGAATAGTCCTTAAGTCTGGATGTCAGAATTCAAACCATCTCTGAAATGTGTGAATGTCGCTTTAACATAGTGATTACAAAGCAAAAATCATGCACTTGATAAGTATCTCAGTGTACTAATACCATCACTTTTATAGGTGTGGGGTTTCTCCCGTGTTTTCAGTTTGCTAAGAAGGTTCAGGTATTGTTCCCATTGGGTGAGAAATGATTTTGCTGCATCTCAGCTGCAAAAACAGGCTTGAGTCCAATAAGTATATGCTTTGCCAGCTGAACCTGAAGCTTTGCCAGTAGAGGGCGGGAGAGCACCAGGAAGAGAAAGCATTTGGTTTCTGTCTTGGAGGCTTTTGACAGGTTCCTGCAGAGAGAGAGAGAGAGAGAGAGAGAGAGAGAGAGAGAGAGAGAGAGAGAGAGAGAGAGAGAGAGAGAGAGAGAGAGAGAGAGAGTGTGTGTGTGTGTGTGTGTGTGTGTGCGCGTGTGTCTGATTTGCATCAAGTTAAGATCAGAATTAAGTAATGATGGCTGTGTGGGTGCAGATGTGACAATGGCAGACAACCTCAATACAGGATCCAATAAAATGGAATTAGGAATAACTTCTGGGTCCTAAGTCTCAGAGATAGGATAGTGCACTCCCAAGTTGGATAATACCATGTGTTTTGAAGGTCCCCTAGAGGAGTTCAGAGTATTGTGGTAGATGCCTGGGTTTGGGGGTTTGTGGAGGCAACTGCCTGGTGTCCTATGGAGATATTGTGCTGATGTCTGAGCAGGAAATCATCACAGTTCTGTCAGTAGCACATTATCCTCCTCAGCTCCTGTCTCTTCTCCTCTGTGTTCTTGGGGACATGAACTGTATGGCCACTGACCCAGGAGCCAGCTCCCATCCTAATTTCCTTGCCTCCCCCAACCTCCAGTGAGATAAGATCACCAGGAAGTTAAGGCTTATTGCAGGTGGACTGTGCTGGCTAGGAAGGAGCCATGAGATAACAGTGAGGCCATGGGAACCCAGATCAGGGACCAGAGCTGCACACTTCAGTGAGAGACATAGGTCTTTGCTTTCCTTTGCTTCCTTGATTCTGTCAGCCAGATCAGCACCTGGGCCAGGACTCAGAAGGATGTTGTCAACAGGACAATTACAGGTATCAGGGTGAGCAACTCGTCCCCAGACACTGTTCCCAGGATACCAGGGCTCAGAGCTGGATCTGTGGTGGGGAAGCTGGGTCCTTGAGATTCCTCTTCCAATTGTTAATCTTTTCTTATTAACTTTTAATTTAAATTAAAACAATCTTATTTTACATACCAATCCCAGTTCCCCATCCCTTCCCACACCATGTCCCCAGCCCACCCCCATCCACTCCTCAGAGAGGGTGAGGCTCCCATGGGGGATCATCAAAGGCTGTAACATCATTTGGGGCAGGACCTAGGCCCTTCTCCCTGTATCTAGGCTGAGAGAGTATCCCTCCAGAGGGAGTTGGTTCCAGAAAAGCCAGTTAATGCACTAGGGATAAATCCCGGTTCCACTGCCAGTGGCCCCATAGGTTGCCTGAGCCCCTCAACTGACATCCACTTCAGGAGTCCTTGCTAGGCCTTATGCAGTTCCCCAGCTGTCAGTCTGGAATCTGTGTACTTAATCTTTTCATGGCACTTCTGGTCAACTTCACCCCCATTGGGAACTCTTAGAGAGACCAGTCAGCTTTATCCCAGATATCAGAGTGAATAAGGACAATTCTGCACTTATTCTCTATCCATCATTGAGGATGAAGATTCATTTAAATTTATGCACAATGACCACTTGCTCAATAATATCTAAATTAGAAAATAAAATTTAATATCACAAAATGAACTCAGTGAACCTGATTCTCCTATGGACGCGGATGCAGCTACTTTAAAGGATATGATGATATTTTAAGTACCAGATTGTGAGTAACACCTGAATGAAACTAGTGAAATATTCAAGATAAAAATCTTCAGTGTGAAAAAAAAATCTTCAGTGTGCCCAGTTTGGTGACCTAGGGATTTCTCTCAATACTCAGGGGACAGAGGCATGTAGATGTCTGTGATTTCCTGACCTATCTCAAGAAAAAAACAAAGAAAGAAAGAAAAAAGAAAATACTAAAATGATTTGAAGATGTTAATAAAAACACACTCCCCCATGTCTAGAGAGATGGTTAAATTGTGTAGGCAACCACAGTTGGAGTCCTTGAGGTCTGTAAGCTCACAACATCCTGTTCTTCCGACTCCAGGGTCGCCAAGAGTTTCTTCTCCACAGACTACTGTACTTCCAACCTTCACACATACACAAACAACCAAATATACACATAAAGAATACATAAAAGAAATCTTAAAAATATCAACCCTGTAAAGTTTTGTGAAGATCTTTTCCTATACTGCACATAACAATAAAATGTTGAAAAGGAGAATCAGAATCTAAGATTAGTGAGAATAATCTATTAACTTCTCTACATTATTGTATTTTTGTAAACATTCTGTTTACATTCACATTATCATTAATGTTCTATAAAGCAAATGTTTAAAATTCTCTGTCCTAACCTACTGAACAAGGACTGACATAATCCACACAAGCATAAGCACCTTTGATGCCATTCTAAGGCTCTGTAGACATCCTGATATCTCAGTGTGAGAATTGTGGAGGGAAGTTTCTGTCCCGCCCAGTCTTGCAGCCATTTAGTTCCAAATAAGCTTACAGAGGTTTTATTAATTATAAACTGTATGACTGATGGATAAGCCTTTTATTGGCTACCTCTCTCATAATAATTACCCCATAATTATTAATATATGTGTCTCCACTTGGTCTTGGCTTACTGGAGAATGCCCGGATGTCCTATATTCCCGGTAGTTACATGGCTTCTTTCTGGCGACACACTCTTTGTATTCCTCTTCCCAGCTTTCTCCTAGTCTGGTAGCCCTGTTTATACGTGCTGCCTGGAAATATCCTGCCTGTCCATTGGTCAAAACAATTTATCAAACAATAAGAGAAACATATATTCACAGCATAAAAAAACCCCGGCTTCTCACATTAGAGAATTGCTGACTTAATGGCCTCTGGACCGGAAACAGAGGATATTTGGACCAGTTTGAGGTACACAACGACCAGGGTAGCCGATTTGTCTCCATGCACTGCTGCTAGGATCCCAGGTCCCAGAGCTGGGTCTGAGCTGGGAAAGCAGGGCCCTGGAGATTCCCCTTCCAGGAGTTCATCTTTCCATGACCCAACTACAGTGCTCTCTCTCTCTCACTACCATTGGGGAATTCTTAGAGAAGCCAATCAGCCTTTGTCATATCATGATTATAAACTGAACACACGCAAACAGAGACTCAGTGTCCAGTCTTCAAGAATAATGAAAACCTTTGTTCCCGAGGCTCTCCTCCTGCTGATCCTGGCCAACCTCACAATGACCAGGCATCCAAAGGGTGAGTGTGGGTGCCAGTAGGGGAAAAAAACCTAGATTCCACATCTGGGGCTGGAGCACAGGTAAGTCATCCTCTCCCCTAGCCCAGACAGAATATTCTAGGACCTTATTTACTTTACATCTTGTCCCCTGTCCCCTGTCTCCTGTTCTCTGCTCTCCTGGGAAGACTGGGGAGCAGCACAGGACACTGGGTGGGAGGACTAAACCTAAAGACCCATTGCACCTAGGTTCACACTCCCTGAGCTATTTGCAAACTCTGCTCACCTGGCATGACCTGGAGCCCGACTTCATCCTTGGTATCTACTTGGATGACATTCTTATCCAGAGATTCAACAGCAGAGCAGAGATTCCAAGGCTGGGGCACTGTGCACCTTGGGTGGATCATCAGCAGCCAGCGTACTGGGATAGTGAGACACAGGGCGTTCTGAGACTAATTGACATCTACCAAGACTTCCTGGAGACAGTGCTTCACCTCTACAATCAAAGTGAAACTGGTGAGTGAATATGAATCAGAAATCCCCAACTTCAAGCTCCCAATGTGTTTGCTCCAGTTCCCCATATCCCAATATATACCAGAGTGAAATAAGATCCATGTAGATTAGCCTACAGAGAGCCTTGGGACATTGATCTAGATTTCTGCACAATGTGGCCACATTTACAAAGGTCAAGTGGGAGGTACCGAGTCACAGGAGGGTCCCAAGGACCATGGCCCTGTGAGAATGTCTGAGAGTAGGGGTTTCCACAGGATATCACACAATGCAGATATTGGTTGCCTGCAATGTGGGGCCTGGAGGGAAATTCCGTCGTGGACAATGTAAATTAATCATCAATGGCCGTGATTACATCACACTGAATGGTGACCTGAGCACTTGGACTGTAGCTGGCAAGGAAGCTGAGACCCTGAGGAGACAGTGGGAGAAGACACAAGTTGCAAAAGTTATGGGTGTTTTTCTAAAGAAAGAGTGTGTGTACCTCCTCCTCCAACACCTGAACTATGCGAAAGAGTTTTTGCTGAGAAGAGGTAAGGAAAGAAACTGCTGCACCTGCTCTGTGACTGGAGCCTCTGTCCCCCTTGGATTCTTCCTCAGCAGGGAGAAGTTGGAATAGTAACTTGGTCTTGCATGAAAGGGGAAGGGTGGCATGGGTTTCCTGATTCAACAAGAGAGAGGGAATCTCCAGAGATGTAAATCGTCTCTCTCGATAGTTCAGTCTGCCAGCTAAGCAGCAGTTCCTTTCCATTTGCATTTTGAATCTGACCTCGGTGAGGCCTGATCACTGCCCATGAACATTTGTTCTGACCCAGTGTTGCTGAGTCTCTGTCTCCATCCAGGGAGAACCAGAAGTCCATATATCTAGAGGGAGACACAGAATCTCCTGCTCTGTGCTAACTCACACTGTGCTGACTTTCCTCGGAATAGATTACCCCATCGTTCTCGTAGGATTAGGATAGTGTGCAGGGGTTAGCATCTCTCCTTATAGCATACTGTCCCATCCATTCAAACCATGGTTGCATGAACATTGACAGATCTTCAAAAGGAGTAAAAAAAAATACCCGAATCTTTCAATTTATTCCCTCAGACATCCCAAAATTGCATGTGACTCATAAGGTCAGAGCTGACGGGAATATCACTCTAACATGCTCGGCCCTGGATTTCTACCATGCTGAGCTCACCCTGACCTGGCAGAGGGATGGTAATGATCACAGACAGGATGTGCAGGTGATGGACACCAGGCCTGCAGGAGATGGCACCTTCCAGAAGTGGGCAGCTGTGGTGGTGCCTCCTGGGGAGGAGCAGAGATACACATGCCGTGTGGATCATGAGGGCCTGCGTGAGCCCATCACCGTGAGATGGGGTAAGGAATAGGAGTGAGCACAGGGACTCTCACACTGAGTTGGGAGTCCTTGGGAGAACTGGAACAGGGTCATGACTGACAGCTGGAGGTCAGAGTCCTCACTGTTCCTTCCATTCCTCCCTCAGAGCCTCCTCAGTCCCCTCTCCCCATTATCGCAATTGTTACTGGCCTGATTCTTGGAGCTGTGCTTATGGGAGCTGTGGTGACTTTTCTGATATGGAAGAGGAGGACTAAAGGTAAGAAAAGGGCGGGGTCTGAGTTCATGTCTCCTTGGGAATATCAAGCCTAGGTGAATGTGCCCTGCCATATGAGAGCAAAGTTTCACCCACACAGTGGCCTATTCTGTATTGTGCTGAGGAGCTGACATTAACTCCATTGTGAAGCATAAAGAAAATAATGAACAGATTCATCACTGCAATAAACAGAGATGGCAGAGACCGGATCCTCTGCTCTCAGAGGTCAGATGGAAAGGTTCCTACTGAGAACAGATATGCAGTTGTCCAGTTAGTGCCCTTCATGTGCAATCCTCCGTCACATTAGCTCATCTTTCTCTAGATCTGCATTCACAGTTCCGGAAACTTCCCTGAAATAAGAAACAGGAAATTCCACTACATATTCTAGATTCTGAAGCTTCCATGAGCTCTAATAAGAGGGATCACCCCAAGGGGTGAAATGTGAGGCAGTTATTTTCAGACTTGCAGTCCTTACACTGGGGACTCATCCCTGAAAAACCTGTGGCAGGACCCACAGGAGCCCATGGAGTTTCTCATCCAGCCCATACCTCCTCATTGAGTTCCATCATCAGAGTGTGTGATCTGTTCTTGTATCACTTTCCACTGGGAAGTCAAGGTTTTTAGGGATTCCAGCCTTGTGTTACAGTTTTAAAAAGTGATACCCTAAAAGTCTGTGTCTGTGACAGGGAGAGGACAGAGAATACAACCCTGCCAAATGGACATTCCTGGGAATGGGACAGTTTGAGTGTGTGATGGGCTGTTCAGAATGTCACCACGTAAGACACCGATCTGAATTTCTTCCTTGTTCTCTCTTCTATAGGATAAGACAGCTGGACTGAGCCTACCGGGATTCCTTCTTCTTTCTTTTTAACCACTGTGGTTTGAGGAACTGATGACTTCTCTTCCTGCATCTGACTGTCACTATGTGTCTGTCTGTCTCCTGTGAGTACAATGTAGCCAGGTGCTTAGTGCAGCCCTGCCCTGAGTAGCTACAAGTCCCACCCACACACTGATTATCTTTCCTTCCCTAATCACCCTTGCTGTTCCAACAAAGGCTCGGCTGGAAAACCTCCATCCCTGACTTAAATTTACTTTTTCCTGAGCTACAACTTAATGCATCTTTCTTGAAATTAAGCATTTTTATTGTTATGCAACTTCTTTCAGAGTGGGCATTTGATTTGTATTAAAGACAAAAAAAAACCCGATGGGAAAAATAAAGTCTCAGAATATTTCAGAATCATCTGTGGCGTTTTAACTCCATTGCTTTTTGTTAGAGTTGAAGGCTGTGTGGAGCCAAGTGAGGCCTGCGTGTGCACAACTGTTGCTCCTTCCACCCTGGGCTTTCACCTATTCCCTTCCCAACTCTGTCATCTTGCTGTCTCCCAATCCCTCTTCTTTCCATACAGTTGTTCCACCAGCACATGTGATCAGAAAGTCTCAGGCATTTGTAGTGTCTGTCCTGTTCAGTCATGCTATCAGTCAGCTTTTCAGGTTTCAGTCTGATGTTCCACCAAGAGATGTTTAGATTCTCTATTCTACAGCAATTATGCTTGCTCTCAGCTCTGTGTTTTGAGAAGGTGCCAATGTCTTCTATTGTTCACATTCACTGAAACAAGTAGGGAATGTTTCTGTCATTGTTCTGAAGTGGATCTTCCTGGTGTTCTTACCAAATTGGCACAGTCCAAGCCTGGGTTGTGACAGACTATGGGCTCTAATCTGTCACTAACACCAGCAGGAGGAGGCTCTGTCCACAGGAGATATGCAGAGTCAAGATCCACCTACGTTACATCCTGAGATCCTGTCTCCAACGGAAGTCATTAAAATCTAATAAAGAAATGAATGAATTTAACAATTAATATTATAAGGGATGGCCAAACTGTACTATGCTAATTACATTCTTATAACTCTCAAGTATGTATTCGCATTTGAGACAGGAAGTAGGTTGGTGTAAGGAGAGTTATGTGGAATATACAAATAGGGCAATACATGGTGACCCGCTTCTTGGATTCCTAGATGGTTTCACAGCTGTCACTATAAATTCATAGGATTTCAGGTCATCCAATCACTTCCAGTGAAACTGGAAACCCATCAAAATGAAGAGAGGGAGACAATCGCATGTTAACAGCTGTCTACAGAGAGGGTCACAGCAGAGAGAGCAAGGGTTTAGAGGAAACCAGTGGTATTCTCTGTAAAACTAACATCATTGACAATTTAGACAATTTATGCAATGCCTGAGGGACAGAGATTTAGCTCCAGTTTCAGTACAATGTTCATAGGACAAACTGCATTTGGTCCCTAAAGCACAGACGAGCATTTTCTCTAGTGTGCTTCTCTGGATCCCAGAGATAATGCACATTGGAGATTGCACTCCAAACTCTTGTTAAGGAGTACTAGGAGCAGATCCCCTAGAGAAGGGGATGGGGCAGGAAACTCAGGTGTCTGAAGCATGTGATGGGAATCTTCCTGTACCTGTGTCTGCGGAGCAGACTACCTGCTCAAGGCAAGGAGCACATTTCCCAGAAAACCCTAGAGCTCTTCAACAACTGGACAAGGCAGCAATCCTCTATCCAAGAGAGGAGATGTGAGTTCAGCATCCCCACACCCCCTGATCTCAGTAGTTTAGAGAGAAGCCTTTTTCTTGCCAGTCACTTTGGTTTTTCCCCACCAGTCGCCTGGGCTCTGCTGCGTTGTAGTCCCCAAATAACACACAAGATGCTGTATTAATTATGAAGCTGTTGGCCTTGCTTGTTTCTTACTGGCTACCTCTGACTTAAGTATTTACCCCATAATTGTTAATCTAAGTATTTCTCTTACCAGAGAAAAGTTCCGAACTTCTTACTCCTATGGCAGCTTCATCTTGACTCCCTGTGTTTCTCCTACCCAGAGGCCTCCTGGACTCCTAGTCCCACCTATCTTGCTTCCCTATTGGCCAACAGTGCTTTATTGACATATACATAGAACTCCCCCATCATCTCCTCTTTTCTGTCTAAATAAAAAGAAAGGTCTTAACTTTAACATAGTCAAATTATATATAACAGAACAGTTATCAAGTAAGAACATAGTTACAATATTTTGTCTATCAACATTTAGCAAGATTTAAAGAAAATATCATCCATCCCATCCTTGTGAGTCCAAAGTTCTATATGTAGCTTATCTCTTGTCATAACTAAGGAAAACTATAATTATAACTATCTGTCTTCAACTCCATCAAAGACCACAGAAAGGTAATATATAAACACTAGAATTGACAGAGACATCTTGCTACCTGGACAGTCACCCGAAGTTCCTCTGTAATGTTGGGGCATCCATCTTCAGCCCATAGGCCACAATTGAAAGGTGTGTACGCACAGCTGGAAGTGGCAGTGACCACATCTCCAAGCCGGCGGCTTTTGCTGGATGTCAGCATAGACTGAGACGATGAGCTGGAATCACGCTTACACCTGCCATCTTGGAAAAACTACAGGTTAAACAGCCACGGTTTTAACAGATAAGACACGCGGCCAGAAAAGCATAAAGATTTACAGTAAAGTCAGACTTGGGTAAAGAAAAACCTCTAAAGGTTTGTTTACCGTGTGTTTAAAAATATACTTAAGATTGGGGGAGAAAAAGAAACGGCATAGTAGTAAATAGAGAAGCCAGATGTGGTGGCGCAAGCCGGTAGGATTTGCTGCAGAGGCAGAGGCAGGTGGATTTCCAGAGAAACCCTGTCTCAAAGAAATAAAAGAAGAAATAAAAGTAAAAGAAATAGATAAGCCACGTAAAGATGGAAAATACACAGAGAGTCTGGATACTGTACACTATTGTGTTTTTTCAGTTTTTTTTTATTGCTAAGGAAGGAACAACTACTAAAGTATACTTGATTATAAATACTGCTGAATTCATTCAACTTATATCTTTTAAAAATGCCTTGATTTCAAAATTTAAGTATAAGGATATGTTACTTTGGAAAAGATATTTTATTTGTGTTTCCACAGAAAATGGCAAATTCCTTCCAGGCTTCTGTGGTTTGATGAACCAAGACCCCTGGAAGCAGTAGGCCAGGTGTTCCAACAATTGAGACAGCTAAGATGAGGCAGCCTTACACACCCCCCCAAACAAGGACTTATACAGGTTTCTGAGTTTTGTCATAATCCCCATGGTATGAACAGCGCCCCCATCCAGCACGAAGCAGTTTGGAATGCCATGAGGGCAGGGACAAGTAAATTAGCACAGGTAGAGATAAAAGGAAGCGAAAGGAAAAAGGACCTCCTCTTTTGGAAGCTGGCCACGCTTCTGACTCCCAGCTTGTGTGATTCTCCGTCTCTGGTAAATAAATGTATTGTATTCCCTATAGCATTGACTATCATCATTACAGTAGAGGTGCCCTGGTACTCTCATTTCTACCTGTGTGCAGAGCTTACTTATCTCTCTGGTCTATTCTGCGTGTCTCTTCAGCATCCATGCTAACTTAAACTTCTGGCCAATATATCTTGTACCATGGTCAACCTGTAGGAGGGTCTGGAGGGCACCTCACACTGCCCACAGTCTCAATCTCCATGTGGTATTTCAGCAGCAATGTATCCAGTCCTGGCCACTGGGATGCTACTTGGAACACAGGCCCTTCAAGCAGGAAGTCACTCCTGGGTTGATGGCTCAGACGCAGTGATTTAAGCAGAAGGGTCCTAACTATGGGAGTTCACAAGGGTATCCTAGGGTCAATGGATGTGATTTTCCAAAGTGAGATCTCAGATCTGCTAGTAGAACTGGCTGGAGGTGTCTGAGGATCACTGTCCTAATGACAATCATGACGATAGAATTCACAAGTTCTGCCTGTCCCCTCTGATAGGAACAAATGTGCCTTGATCCTCAAGTACAAATTTAGACTCCAGGTTGCAATTATATGATGTTATCATCAATAAAGGTAGGGTCTCAAAATTCTCAGTTCCTAAGACGGTCAGTGTATACTAATATAATACACATAGGTGTGTTTACCTTTTAGGTCCACACAAAGACAACTAACTTCCTCATTAATTCTGCAGTGGTCCCCTCTACCCCACAGTTCCTAATCCCTATGCCCTGCTTTCAACTATACCTTCAGGGAACCTCTCATTTCTCAGGTCTGGATCTCCAGGACGATTTCTTCCCTATCCCTCTCAGCTTTCAGTCTCAAAATAACTTTGCTTTCACCTGGACTGACCCTGACGACCCCCTCTCCACACAGCTCACCTGGACTGTCCTACCCCAGGGGATTCAGGACAGCCCCCACACCTATTTGACCAGGCCCTAACTTCTGTCCTAATTACTCTGTTTTCTCTCTCCAAATTTAAACCCCTAATTTATATAGGTGACATTCTCCTTCGTAGCCTGTCCCTACAAATTAGCCCAGACTCACCTCATCCACCACAGGGAGTCCATACACTAAAACCCACATCCCCACGGTCACCTCCTAATACCCAACAAATTGTGTCCTATCTACACCAGCTCTTTCAACCCAGTAACCAGGCTCTGTCCCATTTTGGCAAGGCTTACCACCAGCCAACACCTGAGGACTTTCATTTCTTTCTTTCTTTCTTTTTTTTTTTTTGGTTTTTCGAGACAGGGTTTCTCTGTATTGTTTTGGAGGCAGTCCTGGAACTTGCTCTGTAGACTAGGCTGGCCTCGAACTCACAGAGATCCGCCTGCCTCTGCCTCCTGAGTGCTGGGATTAAAGGCAAATGCCACAAACGCCTGGCTTTCATTTCTTAAGAAGTATTGTTGTTCCTTGCGAAATTTGACAAGTTTTATATCATAACTCCAGATGGTGCAGTCCCCCTTTTCCTACACACCGGGCCAAAGGCTCCCTCCTGGGGACTGACTGGCAACTTGACTTTATCCACATGCCCACAGTTGGACAAATTAAGTATCTCATAGTTCTAGTGGACATGTTCTCTGGATGGCTGGAAGCATTCATCACCAGTGACTAAAGAGCTCACACAGTCTCTGACCTCCTTTATGGAAGAACATTCCATGATTCAGAGTTCCAACCTCTCTGCAGGCAAACAATGGTCCTGAATTCACCTCTCAGGTCTCCCAAACCCTAATCTGAAACTCTCAACTTCCTTTACAGTTTTCGTATTTCATATCACCCTCAGTCCTCAGGAAAGATAGAATGAACTAACTGCTCCTTAAAAAAGCATTCCTGTTAAAAATGTCACAAGGAACATCACCTTGGCTTTGTAAAGCTCTTATCAGGCTCCAGGCTCTCCCTAAATGAAC